GGGGGGGGGGGCGATAGGAATTGGGAGGATGGACGGTGTGATGTGATTTGAAAGATAGCGTGATTTCGTCGCCGACTTTGGCTTGGTCTTGTGGTTGTTATATTGAGCTCATGTGGTCGTCGCAATTCGCGGTTCCTGGCGTGGCCGACCAGGAGATGAGGTTTGCCCGTAAAATGACGAGGACTGCCCTGGGGCGCGACGTGTGCAAGAACCGTCTTGATGACCGTGAGCTTGGTCGGATCAGGCAAGGCAAGGTAGCGTGCGTGGCTCGTGGGTGGTAGGTGCAGTAGGCAACGGGCATGGGTGGTGAAGTGAGGGGGGACAGGGCGAAAGGGGGGGGGGGGTCTACGACGCTCACTGGCGAGTTGAGGGCGGGAGCAAACAGGTACGAAGAGTCAAGAGAGAAAAAGACAGAGAGAGAGAGAGAGAGTCGACCATCAAGGGCTCATTGGAAGCTGGCGACCTGCCCAGCAAGGTGGGTAGGCACCTAGGCAAATAGGCAATCAGGTAGTCAGTCACGCAAGCCAGGTATGGGAATGCACCACATGAGATTCGCGTCTGCAGGGTCCTTTGGGTTGTCTTTGATTTTGCACGTCTCTTGAGTACAGTACACCACCAACTCGGTTCACGGGGCAGTTTAGATTTCTTTTTTCTTCTTCTTCTTTTTTTCCCTTGCCGACGTTCCAAAAGAAAGAAAGTTTGCAGCACAGAAAGCTCGCCTGGCGAGGGACCCTACGTGACCTCTGCGAGGTCTTTTTTTGGCCGAAAGGTGTTTGATAAGGGACTTCGCGGTACCTACGGTATCGCTCGCTTGCCTCGGCGGAAAGCTCTACTTGGTGGGTTCATCATGTATCCTCCCGTACCTAGTGAAAGGGGACGAGGCCACACACACACGGGCTGGTGGGTCGGAGTGGCTCCAGGGGGGGTTCAGCCTTGCAGTACATTGGCCAAGAGAAGACCGTCAATGGGTGTTTCCAGAAGGCTAGTTCCATGTTCTTTGTGTCGCCAGTTGGTGAAAGGTGGATGAGTACCTTCGGTACCTGTGTAGCAGCGATGGCCCTGCTTCGCTTTGTACGATGGGAGGTGTTCGATAAACTACCGGTGACGCTGGGGTGTAGGCAAGGTTCGTAGCACGCACGTTCGTTTAGTCTACAGCCTGTTTGTCGACTTGGCTTCACTTCCGTTTACTCAACGTACCGTACACAACGAACCGTACACAACGTACCGTACAGAGTGATGATAAAGCTCTCCGCTTCCGCCTCCTCAATCAGCCCACAAACCTAGACGCCAAACGAAAGGAGATGCCACGGATTGCGCATCCGAAGTGGCTCAAGGGGGCTTCGTGAGAAGAAAGACGACACAAAGGCAGCTAAACAAGGCCTAACACCAACACTACCCCCAAACCTTACGGCACGCGATTGACCGACAGCCCAAAAGAAGCACCATCGGACCAACGAAACGCGGTTCCTCCCCCGTTGCGTACCTATTTAGCCTCCTAACCTCATCCTGTCAATGCCATGCTGTCTCAATGCGCTCTGCCTCAATGCAGCCGCATGGCCCAGCTCTTTCGCCATGTGGGCTCTGTGCAGTCCGTCGGTCGAGCCAACAGAAACTACTGGTAGCTAGCTGGCAGGGTAGAATGTCGAGGCTGTTTGGCTGTTGGGCTGTTGGGCCAGTGGGAAGGCTACCTGCAGCAGCAGCCAGCGGTGTCACCCCACGCAACGATGGACCTTGTCGTACATTATGGGAGATGTGCGCGCCTCACTATCCCAACCCCTCTGCACCGTCTTTGTCCAGAAAGGCAAGATAGGCGGCGGCGGAATAAGATAATACGAGGGATGTAGGTCGTGGTGACCTCGCCCACTTTACCAAATGATCACTACGTGTGTTGTTCAGCGTGGGATACATGTTTCACAGGAAACACGAGGCAGCTGGATGGCTAGGCCTTGACGCCCGGTTGAGGTGCGGTGGCTCGACTGTCTCTAAAGTCATCCAATGTCGACCATGGGTCCAGCCGAGATTTGATGTGCTGCCGGCATGCGGTCCTCCCGCAGGTCTGTCGGGGGGGGCCTGACAGCGTCTATCTGCCTTTTGTTGTTCGGAGGCCATTCACAGAAGCCAAAGCGCAATGTGCCTCGGTACCATCTACTTCAAGAGGTTAGGGATGGACTGTCCCCGTATGATAGCCATGTTCACATGGCAATCACGCTAGCTACAGTGATCTGCATCCACAGTATGGCAGGGCGAAGGCCGTACCGAGACGACGGTACGCGACAATGAAAGCCTTCACTTCCAGGAAGTTTCCCTTCCTCCCTGCGACATGATCTGTCCATGCCGGGTCCCATCGCCTCGTGCTTAGCATCGTTGGTGCCGCTCCGGGCATCCAAGAAAGACATGAATCCACCCACATT